CCGCGCGTTCTCTTTTTATCTTGTCGTTTACCTTCGAATCACTTTCCAATCAATATCGATCTGCCATCGGATCTCCAAATCGAGATGTCGTACGATTACAAGTGCAATTTGAGCAATTTTTCAATCTACTTACACGCGCATTTTCCTTCTCGTTAATCCTGAAAAAAGAGAAGTTCCCGGTCGTTGTAATACCAGCTCGGTTGATATTAGGTTAACCTATCTGGAGGATAATTCACTTGGGATGTAGCGGTTGCAGCATCTTCGCGAGCTAGAGAGGACGTATTCTAAGCTAAGACGGGATAGAAACAGTTTGGATATGTAAGAGGATAAGTTATCGGACATTTGTCAGATTATCAGCCGGTGAGGATCTTCGATAGAGAGGAGAATGCATAAGGTTTAAATAGGTCATTCGGCGAGCCTTCGAACTAGCTTCGGGAAACGAGACAGTAAATTTTGAAAATTGCGTTCACCTCTGCCTTCCATATTTTCGCTTCATCGGAAAGCACTCACGGCGGTACTGTCCTCGATTCTTTGCGCTGATTACATCTCCGACCGAAAGCATTCTCCCTTTTCGCGTAATAATGATCAACCTCTCGGAACGAACAGAATTAAATATCTCTTTCAGAACGATCGTTCGTTTCCCTTTTGATTTAAATCTGTCGATGCTTGAATTAAACTCTTCGGATTCACGATTCGTTTACTACTAGGGTATCACTATCGGGTCTTCTATCGGCCGGTAACGCGAGTAAAATTTGCCCCACTCCTGCGGCACGTAAGATGAGCGAAAAATGAAAGTTAAAAAAAAGACACGTACGAGGGAACAACAGATAGTTATCGATCCCCGTGGCTGCTGTAATTATTAAACATAATAGGTTGTTAAAGAAGGTCGTCCATTCGAGGTTGCGGTAGCCGCGTGTCGAGCTTTACCTCTCCGTTCCGAGCGGAGACTGCTTCAAAATCACAGACTAACGTAAGCCGCGCGAGTATCGGTTATTTTCGACGTAACTTTTCCCCTTTAAAACGTCCATCCCGTCAGAAGTTTGCTCTATAAACGGGATACGCTTTCGATACCTTGGTCTGCAATTTATTGTGCCGTTGGTGGTTGTCGTCGTCCGTTGATTCCGAGATAGACGAAACAGCAGCGAGAACAGACAAGTTCGGTACGCCGGCGATGGTCTTAGAAACCCACTCGACGTGTCGGAAATTGCGGCAAGCTGAAGCAGGGTCGTTGTCTGAGACTAAACGCAATCGTTTCGACGGAGAACGAGATGAGAAGAAGTTTTATAAATTCACGAAATGGTCACTATAACACGGGAACAGATGGCTTGGAAAGCGGGGCACCGTGTAACAGGGCAATATCGAAGATTCTATTGGCCCAATGAACGTTGCGCATCGGTTAGCAAAGTCTTTGTGGCTGACTATTTTTTTTCTTCCTTTCGACGCGATCTGTTCAAAGGACGACCACGGTTAAAAGAGTTTTGAGTTCTATGCTGTTTCTTCGCCACTATTTTACCAGTTTTGTGCACATTTATGAGTATTACGTGCAAGAATAACATTGTCATCTCGACGAATAAAAAATCGCGATCGAGAGGATTTCAATAGCGATGCATAATAAGCGTTATTGAATCCGAGTGTGGATGTTGTAGTTGTCTATTCGTGGTAACCCTGGTCGTGTCGGGGACCAATAGTCGCCGAGTATGTATTTTTAATTGGTCGGCCGATCAATTAAAAGATTGGGTGGAGGGTGTTCCAGATGGCGCACAGTTGGCAAACTGTGTCCCCATTCATGTCGTAAGGGCGCTTTCACTATTTCCCTGTGTTTTCAGGGAAAATATCCTTTTGTTCGGGCGTTTTCAATATCCCGTTGGAAAAAAAGATACGAAATTTAGCGATGCTGGAAGAGAAACGTCGATGGAAAAAAAAAGAACATGTCGTTAATAAACTCGTTTCGGCGTGGTCTGAGATCTGTGGCCCTTTACATACTCGGACAATTTTATCCTTAATTAGAGGAAAGGTTTTTTTTGTCTTTGGTTGAAAACGTAATACGATTGAGCGCAAAGTTCCGCTTTTGCGATCGACCTCTTTTAACAAGTGACATTGTTACGCCCGATATCAAAACTGGTTATAGAAATGGTAACCTTTCCGATTATTAGAAGGAAAGTCTTTTTGTTTTTCCCTTAAAAGTTTTGCTTTGCGTACAGAATATCGAACGAAATCCACGTTTACAATGGATCTTTTTATCGAATTCAAGAATAATCGAAGAATCGCAAAATTCGACTTGCCTCGATCGTTTCATTAAGAACAGGCTACTTTTTTCAAATGAAAGGCTCCGGTTGGATTGTCGTTCCTTTTCATTCGTCGCGCGCGTCTTCTATTACAAATCGTTCGTTTCACCGTGCAATTTTCCGTTCATTGTTCCACGTGATTTCTCTCGTAAAGAATTTCCTCCGAACAAACCACGTTGTGTATCCTCGTGTTCGTGTATTTTAAGAGAACACTGTTGTATCACCGGACAGAATAACGAGGAGTATCCACCTCGTACGAACAAATCATCATTCGTTCGAAATTTCAATTCTTTTCACCCCCAGATGAAAGAGGCGTGTATCAAGCTCCGCGGGAGATTCGTTTATCTGAATCGATGAAACAGTGGAGCGGTATAAAATCAAATGTTAATATTATCGTACTCTGAAACTCCACGTATGCTCTAACCGCGTTTTCCACATCACCGGGCATCGTGAATGCACGAAATCTCCTCAGTCTTATTTCAATAAATACCGCTTGAGTGCAGACTCGTAAACACCAGTCCTTGTTATTTCGCACCGGGAAGCTGTTCAATCGATATTCACGTTTTTCTCAGTCGTAAAGTATCGATTAACGGGATCCTAAATCGCGCGAGAGGTTCGCGTCGAACGACGAGGGGATTTCGTTTTAAGAAAAAAAGGAAAGAAAGATAGGCATTAAATCAGAATCGGTTGCGGGTTGGCGACACGTCTCGAAGATTCTTTCCACCTCGATAACGCGAGTCCGTATTAGAGCTCACGCATCAATATCTTCTTCCCTCGAATCTCGTTTCCCTTTTCCACCGAGAATGTTTTCCCTGAAATAACCGTCGTTCTTGCCATCGCCGAACTTTCAACTTCTCCCCTCCCTCGCACGACGAGATGGAGGAGGAAGAACGAAATGTGTCTCCAGAACCGAATCGCAAGGAATTCCCTTGTTTTTTTTTTTTTTTTTTTCATTTCCGAAGATTTACTCCCGGACGAAAAAGGAGAGTGGAAATCTCGTTTAAGTTTATCGCATACGCGGGCGAAATATTGCGATGATTTATGCGAGTTCCGTGCAGATTTATCGCACTCGTCCCGACGCGTTACCCGTTCTATTTTCCGCACGTGTCGGGAGTCAAAGGAGAGAGCAACCGACGAGCCGACGTCTCGACTCGGCAGGATCCTGGGCAAAAAATTAATTGCGTTATCGACGCGAATTTTCGCGCTGTTTGGCGGGAGCCTCGGCGTTAATTAATTTTTTTTGAACGTTGCACGCCGTACGGAGTGCACGTATTCTTTTGAACACAAAGCATCAACCTCTACCCTCCGCCTCGAGTTAACCGAAGCTTATTTACATAAGCTTATAAAATAGAAGGTGCTTTGCGCGCGACAATCCCTTCGTTCTTGTATTTTCCCCGCGAGAGGAAGGATTAACGAGGGAAGCTGTTAATCGACGATTTTTACAGTCAACATTAGTTTAACGAAGCGCTAAATTAACCCCGGGCAAATATTTACGAAAGGTAACGGAATCGTCAGGAAACGCGTTGACTAGAAATTTTGGACGATAAATTGTGTCGGGCGGATTTATTCACCTGACTCAAAGAATTGACAAATGTCCACGAACTGTATCGATTCGTCCGATGTTTATTATTTTTCCTAAAATATATTTGCTTTTACTCGATTACGCGTCGAAATGTCCAACGTTATTCGATCGTTATTCTTAAATCAATCGACGAGTAAATACCAGTTATCACGTGCACTGGGGAAATCGATCCATTCGTCGAGCTCTCCTATAAAGAAGTATTGTTCTTTTTCTGATGGAATTTCATCAACCTATGGTAGGGTTCGCAGAGATTATCCGGCGATTTTCGCGTTTATTTCGTAAACAATTTTTCGAACAATAAAAAAATTGCGACAAAATGATAGTTCTTAAATAGAAGTCACGTAAAGGTATTCATGACCCGATGCAGTATATCTTCCGAGTATTTATTTTCGTTCCGAAATGTCGATATCAATTGGTGATGAAATAAATCTGCGGAAAAAAGGAAGAATTCTCGACGTCGACACTGTATTGATAATCTTGCTGCAAATATCTAGAGGACGAAAAGTCTGGTTTCTCGTCCATTGTTTCTCTTGCGGAAATATGCCCCGGAATAGTCGTTAAATCGCGCTGCCAGGGAAATAATCCCTTCATGAATTTTCATGTCATAGCTGCCGTCAGAGAGAAAGATAATATTCTCTTCACTTTGAGGCAATGGGACTGATGAAGGGGGAGAAATATTGCACCTCGTTGTTTACAAGGATTTTCCCACTAGCCACTAATTAATTTCGTAGATACGCAAAGGTTAAAAATCTGGTCGGCGTTATTCGAAACATCGATTGGTAAACCAAATTAACGTTGGTCAGCGTTTCTCAACTTCCTTTGGCTCGTGGCCAGCAACGGTCAAAATTCTTGCGAAAATCAAAAAACACAAGGGACAAATAAAAGACGAAGTATCCCTTATTTTTATTGCTAGTCGAATAAAAATCAGTATTTTAATTGTAGAACTATATTTTATAATCATAAAAGGTTACACTCTTGCTCTATGGGGGTCATATCTATTTCGATCTCGTTGAGAATCCCTGGTACAAACGACCATGGTTGGCGTGTTTCCCCGAAAGCGTGGATATTTATAGAAAATTCCGTTTGTCTTGATTTTATCGTGACCCGGAATAAATTTATATTTGCCGATGTAGGATCGAGCGATACGAAGAGGAACGGGAGTGAGTCGAAAGCACGAGGGGGCGGATTTATATAGGGGTTAATTGGGACGATTGCGTGAGTAGAATGCGAGGAATGTTATTTCGTTTCATCATTCATGAACGTTTCGATTGTCTGCACGATTTGTGTTTCATTGCTTCATAAAGCACCCTTTTCACCCTCTCGCCCTGTGAATACTAAATATGAACAAGAGTTATAATTTGATTCATTATTTTTCTAAAGATTTTTACGTCTATTCATAATATCTTCAGTGAAATACCAGACTTGTTGATATTGCATGAGCTATTGACGCAATCTTCATTAGCGTTACGTATTACTTAAAAGCAATCGAGACACCCGCTACAGCAACCGTGGTTCTCGCTTTTGCTCGAAGATATAATACGAAACTTTGCAGTGTCGGAAGCCGCGGCGTACGATCTTCTTATTAACAACACAGAAAGTCACTGACGTTATTGACACGAGGCCATGAAACTTATCCTCCGTTGGCCGTGTTTTATTCCGCGCCGGCAGACCTTCTTGAATATCTCAGCGCTTCAGCATGAACGTTGCAATAAAGCGCGCGGTTCTTCCTTTTATGCGGAGGAAATTGGTTCTGGAATAGCAAATGATAGCGCCTGAGACGCGATACAACTGGACGTTATCGGTTAGAAAGTGTCCTACTGTCGATGTTAACGTTGCTTCGATCTTAACGGTGCGCTTGAAAACTTTACCTTCTTGACAACCTCTTCAATAAAGAGGGGTTATAGGGATAATCTTCCAGAATAGAATTAAATTAAAATTATTTGTAGCATATTTGAATTTATTTTATTTTCATGTACTTTTTCGCTGAAGCAGTGCATAATAGTAGGTTCGAAAAAATAAATTGCATTTTTCTTCATCGAACAGCCCTAGAGAATTCCCATTATTTGGCTCGAAAATAAAACTCGCTACTTTTCATTACTTTTAACAGGAGCAGAACGAAAAGTGATAAATAATGAATGAGAAGTTTCAGCTGTTTCAAACTTCCGAGCTTTTCAGTTTCCAGTTTCTTTTTTGATGTTCTTTTTTTTTTTTACCGACGACGGACGTTTTAATGCGTGGTTTTAATGATAATACATTTTCAATTGTACATTTTTATAAAAAGAACACGATAGTGATTGAATATTTTTTCGAACGTTCGAGTCGTATACTGATTAATAACGTGGTTTCATTTTGTTGCAGGTAAGATATTTTTCGCTACGCATTCTCGACGATGAAGAGAAGATGAGTCTCTGGGTCGATGAGCAAAGAGGACTAGAAGTGTGGCCAGGTTTGTCGATAAATCGATAATCCCTGTCATTCAAGATTATTTGAATGCAATACTTGATTGCGTGTCGTTATCTCTCGGATTCATTCATATTTTGTTTTCTTTCATCCTTTATAATATTCGTTGTTATTCTTTATATATTTCGTTGCTTTATATTGTCATTGCACATGGTGACACGAGACACAACATTTTCTAAAAGTCTATAACGTTTCGTCGCCTGTTTTCCAATGATTAAGAGACAAACAACCAATTGGCGCTATGTTATCCGATTGAATTAATCCTTTGTCGAGCGGAGTCAAACGTACGAACGGTGTATTCCGATTTCGTCTCTGAAACAATCTGAGATTTGTAGTAATGTAATCTGTCGGGTATGCTGAATGTAATTCGTTTCTTTTAATGCTTTCACGAGTTTCCTCTTGCGCGTCGAAGCGTTCTCTGAAAGCGGAAAAGAACTCCGATTACCTGTGGTAATTGGAACTAAGGAAGGTACGGATAATCGAAAAGTCGGCTAATTGGGTGAAATAAAAGTGGTGAAATCCCGCGCCCGATTTCTAGCGTTTACACTGAATTACGCTCGATGATAAATTAATTGGACGAAACGTTGTATATTGAATCGTCGAGTTGCAAATAACAAGAGTATGATCTTGGGTATTTGTCAGAAGATAATCCAATTCTTGAAATATTAAGCGTAACATCAACCTGTAACAAAATTTGATACTCGATCGTATCAACAAATATTTCCCAATAGCTTTTGAACATTTACTCTCTCTCTCTCTCTTTTCGGTAAAATCACAAGATATTATTCTAAAATTATAATGAACCCAGAGTTAATAATAAATCGTCAATTTTATGCATTTACTTTCCATGTATAATTATGGAAAACGTACGCAAAATGCACGTATAACATGTTTATGAATTATACATTAATATGTTAATATTAATATTTCTCTATAAATTTGAATAAGCTCATTTATTCTGGATTCGTTTAACGTATGTTTAACACGACGGAAAGGAAGTGACATTCAACTAATTCTTCGAGCGAATAAAAGAAACGAAATAACAGATGGTAATCCAAGCTTGGCATAGATACAAGAACAACGAAACGAAGCTAATCGATTCGAAGTTTTCTGTGCGGCTAAACTTTGTCTAATTACTAAATTTAGTTCTCACACGGTAGATTTCCTCGTGTACGCGGTCGTTTTAAAGTGTGCAATAATTAATTGCTTTCCCGGCAAGATTTTAACGATTTATAAAATGAAAGCAAAAGGCAGGAACGAGTTCGAGGAATACTCGTTTGGAAGTAAGGCATTTTCTGGCCAAAGTTCTTCTCCTAATTATCCAGAGAAAATAGGATCCACGGAAGCCCACACGCTCGCGGAGTGCGCGCCATCGTAACATTCTTAATTTTAGTTCATTGTTTCTTTTTCGGATTTCCCGTGCTACGGGATGCCCAGTTGGCCGTGTACCAATGAACTTCTCCACGGAGATTCGTGCAATTTGTTAATATATTAACGTTCCTTCCGGATGAGAAAGTTCCTACTGTATCTGGGAAGCTCTTCGTTTGGCTGTCTTTGAACATTCATTTCGTTTTGCTCCGTTATAGTGGAGTGTAAAATCTAGAAATGGAAGTGATTATACCGATTTATTATCTATTAGCGAATATCAAGCTATATCTGATAGCGGGTTTGCTTTCCGTTTAAAGAAACGGATTATTTTATTCCACTCGTGATTGTTCACTTTCTAAATGCAGGGTGAAAATTTCCCGAATAGAGTAATGTTATATTGCCTGCGAAACCGGTTGGAATATTACCTAAATTGCTCGAAAAGTTAAAGTTAGCTGAAAGAAACGAATCGGTGTAGCTGAATGGAATACAGTTTTAAATGCAATTGCAACACGGTTCTCCGAGTAAAAATGGAAATCTCGTTTCGCGTTTACGAATTTTATCACTTTCCTACATCGTTGGTTACAAAGCATCCTGCACAGTTCCAATATACGCGTTTGCGCTGTATAACTACGCAGTGTTTAGCAGGAAACACTTGGAAACCGTGTAAGTACGGTTTCGTCGTGCAATTTCATATTCCATTTCATGTATATAAACTATTTGTAGAACGTGTGTTATTGTCAATTTTTTAACGTATGCGTCACACGATTACTTCAAAGCGTTTGCTATTTCCCTAATGCTTATTATTAACGTTGAAAAATGCTTACTATTTAGTTTATTTCTCTGTGGGGAAGTTAAAATTTTAATAGGTTTTTAGAAAGGTAGGATATTTATTTGTATAAGTTTGGCAAGCATTATAAATGCATAAATAATGTTTTGTGTTTCAACGAAACTTGACATTTCGCGCAATAATTAGTAAATATTGAATCGGTGTGTTGGAAGAACAGACTCTAAAAAGAGAGAGGAAGTTGGGATATCGCGTGCCTCTGGAAAATTAATCGTACTATAAATTCAGTGTAATTGCGTGGCTGAATTTTTACGACGAAATCTGCCGCATTTGCGTTACGCACAACTGTTCAAATAATTACTGGCAGTGCTAATGAATGTTTGTTATTATGAAATCCGTATTGCCGCCAATAGCTATTCATTAGTACTCAGACTGCTATTGTCGATATAATTGTGAAATATAAAGCCTCATACAATCGAAACCTATTGACAGCGTTTAGTGCAATTAACAGTAAAAGGTTTCGCACATTTACATTGGCACTAATTGAATTCAGTTTCTATTTGTTGATGTAGCAAAAAAGGAAATCTGTCGATAAACGTTTGAGAGGAAAATTAAGTCAAAGAAAATAGTTCCTACCATTTTCAGTATGATCTAGAGGGTTACTTACACAATTTTTGTTGTAATTCAACCGTTAAAATACTTTTTGTGTATGTGAAATCCCTCTATGTTTCACACAATTTTTGTTCCACAATTATATAATAGTTTTACTATGAAAGTGAACAAAATTGAGTCATTTTAGTGCAATTCACGCAATTCACAATGGTCTCTGCAAATTTCTAATCAATTCTAGCTCTACGTGGCATGATCGCGGGTTCGTGCTGCGAACGCTCGAAGGTTTGATAAGTATGTAGGAGTCTAAACGAAAAATAAGGCACGGGGATTCGAAGCCACGATCCTCGGATCCACAGTCGACCGCTTTACCTACGCGACCAATCCCGTACCCTTCTTTTCGTGTTCTTATTTGACTCCTTATTGTTGGGTATGGGAGGCGCGGATACTACACTCGGCCATCCTGAATTGACATTCATTCGCCCTCGAATGTTTTCTCGGGTTTTGCGTCTCAACAGCAGTGCGCGCCGCGCCCTCTTTCGCCGTCTCTCCTCTTTTAGGGAGTCCCACTCACTCCGACAACACCTCGAGTTGCCCCTTCCCTGGAATTTACTCCCCTCTCTCTTTCTCTCTCGACGCCTCACTGCTGCCCGCTCCCCGTCAACACGACACCCGTCATTCGTTTCTCATTGTTGTTCATCGTGACTCATCGTCACTGGCCGGTCCTCTTCGGTGTAGTTGCCGCTGTAACCCCCCACCCCGGACGAGCCCCCATATGTAGGAGTCTAAAAGAAAAGTAAGGCACGGAGATTCGAGAAGCCACGATCCTCGAATCTACAGTCGACCGCTTTACCTACGCGACCAATCCCGTACCCTACGTTTCGTGTTCTTATTTGACTCCTTATTGTTGGGTATGGGAGACGCGGACACTACAAGTATGCGCGGATTTTGATGCACTTCCGACTGCGTGACTTCACGGTATTGGACTTCTCCTAGTCTACGGTTCCGCGAAGACACAAATTAGCGTAAATAAAAGCAATCCCACGAGCCTCTTAGGGAAAAGCCGGGAGCCTCTAGTTTTTTCTCGCCAATATTCTGTTGCGTCCAAAATACAGATCTGGGCAAATTCCGCTTAGAATTAAAATGATAAACAACTATCGCACCATCGAACCAGGTAGTTTAAACACAGTTGATCTAGAAAAAAATGTTTTCTTGACGATTAAAATTGTAGATCGTACAGCGTTAGAAGCTATCGATTTAAACATCCTGGCCCCCAAGCAATTGTTTGCTTTACCTCTGTTACAATACGTCGATGATCATATTGGCCGGAGCAGAAAAAGTTCATTATTTCCCCGAGCTCGAAACGTTTCCAACTTTCATCCACGGCAAACGATTTTGGCATTGTGCGCCGTTTCATTGTTTTCCACCCGCAAACGTTTCGGTTGTTTTTTGATTACATTCGCGCACTAAGTGCAAACAATGCACTGGGAATTCGATTGTGTAACGCAAAGTGTATCGAAACATCGAAGCGTAAAATATTTTCTCTCCGTGTTTCATTTTATTATTCGTCGATATCGCGTTTATGTTGTATTATAGTCGATCGAAACAATGTGCAGCATTAAAAGGAAATGGACGAGCGATGAAATGGTTTCGACGTTCACCGCCGAGTTCTGTATACGGGGTGCGGCGTAATTCGCGACATAATTTTATTCGTTATACGACATAGTCATGCGATGCTTGCGAAACAACCGTTTTCCGTCGAAACTTCAGCGTTTGTGGGAAACGATGTCGGTAGTGGTTACTTTCTTCTGTGTTTGATATCTCTCAATCGTTAACGCTAAACCTACCGATCATTTTCACCTATTTCTACCGTAATCAGACAAATGACTGATAAACACTTAAACACACTTTTCTCAAATGTAACAATATTTTTGGCTGAATGATTGCATTAATGCTTCATAATTCACTATACAACAACTCCGCTTTAAAAACCCAAGAAAATTCAAATTTCGCCTAAATTCACTCCAGCGTCTATCTTGAAAACCTAGATTAAAATCGGTACAGTTTCTTCCCTGGTAAGTGTACAAACACCCTGGGCGCATCGAGCTCCGAACTGTTCGCCAAATATCCGAACACCTTGTTTCCTTTTAATTTCGCTGGTACCTCGAGCAACTTCCTGCGAATGCGATTTTCCTTGCCCCACGGTTCTCGTTCGACGCCCCACC